AAATATTATTGAATAGGAGGGAGAATTAATTGGGCATTAATAGCCAAACCACCATCTCCTTCCATACCTGCTGCTGCCATTAATCCACTTCCTGCAATTGTTGAAATATATGATAATTTAGTGGTGGAACTTGTAGTTGCTGCTGTTGTTGTTGTGGAAAAGATTGTCATCATCATCAACAAGAATAATAACAGGACAATGTTGTTTGCGCTTCTCATTTCATCTCGAGCTCTCTTCATTTTTTAACAGTCGGTTTTGGTAAACTCTTTCAAAAGTCATCGTTGTAATATTTTTTACATTTTTGTACGTTTTTGTGTATTTTGCCGAATCAAAAGAAAAATGGGGAAAATGGAGTTAAGGTTCAAAAAAAAATAAGAGAGCATGTTGACAACTTGTTGTCCATCATTCTGTTGTTTTTCTAGAGAAAGTACCCACTATCAATCCATCAATAATAACACAACAACCGATAGTAATAGCACAACAACAACAGATAATAGTATTAACATGATGATTTATTCTAAAATATTACAATTGAGTCAAGATATATTTTGCAATGTTATTGTTCCCTATTTTAATTCACATACTTTGATTGCTTTTGCTGGAGTTTGTTCCGAGTGGAGAAGAATTGTCAAAGAATGTGATACTAGAGGAATCAAGTGTGTAAATGTGAAGCATAAATCAGCAAGGTACAGATTTGAATCATTAAATGATGAGGAGGAAATGAGTGGATTAATGAAAGGTGATCTCTTGCAAATATTCTCACAAATGGAAATAAGAACTTTTCCAGAATTTGAGGAAACTATTTTTCTTAACAGATCTTTTTTTAAAAGGTTATTCAATTCAAAAAAATTGGAATTATTGACATTACAAAATACTAATATTATTACAATTGTTATTCCTGCTAAAGATATTTCACCAATTACAACTCTAAAATTAATAAGTGTTCAAATGGAAGTTGAAAATTTAAGAACTATATGTACTAATTTACTAAATTTAACAGATCTAACATTGATTGATAATGGGCTTGATTATAAGGCAACACTTGTATTGACCAAATCAAAGTTGACTCGTCTAACACATCTTACACTTCGTAATAGAATTGGAGATGAAGGTGTTAATCAATTATTGACTCAACCAGGAAATATTAGAACTTTGAAACATATTAACTTTGTTGCAAGACCTCCAGAATCATCTCAAAAAGACAATATTTCATACATAGCACCAATTAATAGTTCAATGTTACCAAATCTTGAATCTTTTTCAATAGATTTGGAGATGTCTACAAAATCAATTATGAATGTGTTGAATAGTGGTAATTCATGGAGAGAATTGACTTTTCTTCACTCACATTTAAATAGTGAATGTATGAAACAAATTGGAAAAATTCATACACTCCAAAAACTTTGTTTTCAATCAAAATTGGAAGTAGATTTACCTTACAGATGTTTATTACCTCTTCAAAATAATCTCACTCATCTAGAAATTGGTCCTGTTGACAATAATACATTCTCTGAATTGAGTGAGGGTAACTTTCTTAATTTGAAATATTTATGCATTCTAAATACAAAACAAGGAAATGAAATAGATGAATATGTAATACGAAAATTCTGTGAAAAAGTTCAAAATCTAACCTATTTAGAGTTAAGAAGAGTAGTAATGAAAAGTGGATGTATGAATCACATATCCCAACTTTCAAAAATAACTGATTTACGAATTATTCAAACACACATTGATAGTGAAGAAATGAAATATTTATCAAGAATGAGTAACTTGACAACATTATATTTAGGAAGTGAAATTACATTTGATGGAATTTCATATTTATGCAAGGGAAATTTACTAAATTTACAAACTTTAAAGTTTACAAGAGTTCCTTCAGGCAAGTTCAAATACGACTCAAAGTTTACATCAAGTTTAGCTCATTCAAATTTTCCAAAATTAAGATATTTGAGTTTTTATTATGAATTTGATATTTATGCAACTGATATGTTACATTCTGGACCATCTCTGAAAAATTTGATACATTTAGAACTTTATTGGGTAGATTTAACAATTACACCTATTTTAGTACCTATAGTCAATAATCTGGCACCTAAATATCTGACTGGAATTGGAGGTTTTCCAAAGCTTAAAGCTTTCTCACCAGAAGCTATACCACAATTAAAACAACCAACAAAAATCAATTATATGACTGGACATACAGATATACGAATTGATGAATTTATTTAATAAAGAATATTAACAATTGATCCTCAACAGCAGCAGCGACAGCAACCTTTACGTTTTTTAGCAACAAATCTATCTTCACTCTTTCTTACTTGACAAACCATTAAAATTTTAAGGAAAACAGTAAATAACAACACAGAAATCATTCCTAATATGCCAACAATCTGTGCATACTTGACCACTGACACAAAAGTTTGAAAGGGCATACTTCCAGCACCAACTACTAAACCATTAAACAAAGCAACAAAGACAACAAATATAACAAGGTGCGCCAAAAATCCAGAACAAATTGAAATGTAAAAAGTAAAGAATAAATATTGTCTTCTCTTTTTAAAAGAGGTAGAGGTTAGATAATCCTTAAATTCAAGTCCAAGAAACAAGTCAATAATGGTAATCAAGATTGAAAAGGTTGTAATACGAACAATACTGCTACTGAAAAGGCTGAATAAATTGGTGAATCCTCTTGATGCCATGTACCAATTAATGTCTGCAATGATCTCTGCATTGTGATTTGTGGTATTGCTAGATGTTGAATTTAGTGTCATGTTGCTAGTAGGTATGAATGTAGAGTTTATGGCTTTTGCCAAATCATTTGCAGTTGTCTCAACTTTGTAAGCAAAACCAACATTTGAACCCATGGACAACATCAAAACAAATAAACCCATCCAAATTCCAAATGAAATGTTGAACAATGCTATCAATGAAGCTTCTCTTGGCTTTTGCAATGAGTTTTGTTGTGCTTTGATTGATTTCTTAAATCCCAAATATTTTTCTTCCAAAGCTCTGATACTAGCTTCTGCAACTTGTTTTTCGACAATTTCATCTTTTTTCTGAATTAAAACTTCAGAATTAACAATCAAAGTCTTTAAATTGGAAATAAGTACAAGAACATATCTGTGTTTGTATTCTGCTTTGGGTGGATCAAAAACAAATTTTGTGGCGTCAATATACCACTGTTGTGAGGAAACTAACGAGTGCAATTTACCAAAGGGATTATCATCTGTGCCAGCTTTTTGGATTGCTCTACCAAGATCTAGAAACCATTGATAAAGTGTGTTGTTGTGCTCTTCTTCAATTTGTTTCCTATTAGGCTCACTACTATTAACCATGATTTATTGTCAACGGGGTGAGATCTTTTCAATTTTTTTATTGCGAATTGAACAGTTTTCACAGTCAACCACAAACCTTTCAGGAGCTCAATCGCATCGTTTTTAAAAGTTATAACATTTAATTTGCCGAAAAAATAGCAACATGTCCA